TGCGGGCTGAGGAAGGTGCCCCACCAATATTAACAAAGAAGGCTGAACCCAAGAGACCGGCCCAGGGAAAAGCCAGCGGGCCACCCCAGAATTAAGAGGAGGGTGGCCCAGTTAAAAAGGAGAGAAATAAAAACTTGGACCAGTGGGTGGGCGAGCCGCTTGAATAGAGGACGGATTCCCCTGAGGATAGACACAAGGCCAACCCAGTTAAAAAAGGGAAAGAGCAAAATGTTGGATATGTGGTCGGGCGGGCCACTTTGCGGCAAGCTGTCCAACAAGAAGGTGCTGGTTTTGCAGGAGGCCAGGACACCTGAAAAGAAACTGTATTCTTTTAGAAACGGCCATCGAAGACCGGGAGGTCCGGCCGGGGTCGCCCAGGTGCAGGGGGCGCAGAACTCCACCTCATAAAAAAAAAACGAAGATGAATTATTACTACCGGCGCCTATGGCTGGGTTAACCCAAAGGTGGGGACCCAGGAAGAAGAAAGCTCAGGTGTTCTCTTCGCTAACACAAGAGAAAGAACTATCCTGTAGAGCAGAGATAGGTGGTAGAGAGATGAGGGCTTTGGTGGACACAGGAGCATCTGTGTCATTGATGAGAGAGGAGACATACAGGCGGGTGAAACGGAAGAGAAGGTTACGGGAAGCGGACATAGAGATCACGCAAGCAGACGGGGCCCCCCTGGAGATAAAAGGGATGGTGAGGCTCCCGGTGAGGATTGGGAAAGTGAGAAGCACCCAAAATTTTTACGTAACCCCCGACCTGTGTACAGAGGCAATCTTGGGAGAAGATTGGCTCCGGAGCCAGGGGGCCCAGATCGAGTTTAATCCTACTGTGTTGGTGGTGAACGGCGAGAGAACGCCATTGGGATGCCCACCAGAGGAAGAGATAACCATAGTGGTGGAGGAAGATGTAAAGTTACCTCCTAGGACCGCAGTGTCGGGAAAGGGTAGGCTAATGTCAAAAAAAAAGGTACGGAGAGGACCTCTGCAGTTGGTCCCTGTAGAAGGAAAGGGCCTAGAAGATGGCGAGGTAACCCTGTGCGAAACGGTAGTGGAGGCAGCCGAGTTGGTGCCCATAATGATGGTGAACCAGGCCCAAAAGACTATCAAGGTTAGGAAAGGGGAGAAGATAGGAAGCGCACTTCCCCTACGAACTCTGAATCGGGTGAGATTCGAGGAGGAACGAAGGAAGCTAGTAGAGCAAACAGAAGGAATCTTAGATGAGGACATATTAGCACCGGATCAATTTAGAACCAGAGTGGGGGGTCTGTTAAGGAACAATCGAGATGTGGTGGCCCAGTCAGACAAGGAGCTAGGTCAGACCCACACAGTCGAAATGAAAATCGACACCGGAGACCACCCCTGTGAAATTAAAACCCTACCGAACACCTATACATAAAAAGACCCCTTGTAGAAGAGGCAGTAGAGGAAATGTTGGAAGCTGGGATGATCGAAAGATCGATCTCTCCTTGGAGCTTCCCAATAGTAATAGTAGGTAAGAAAGATGGCGGCCACCGTTTCTGTGTAGATTTTAGAAAGCTGAATTCTATATCGAAGCCGTTGGCGGTGCCATTGCCATTGATAGACGACATTTTTGGCATTATTAGGGAAGGCAAAGTACTTCTCTACGTTGGACTTGAGGTCCGGGTATTGGCAGGTAGCCCTGGATGAGGCTGACAAGGAGAAGGCCGCATTCGCGTGTCACCTGGGACTGTTTCAGTTCAGAGTGATGCCATTCGGTTTAGCTAATGCCCCGGGAGTCTTCCAACAGCTAATGTCAATAGTGTTAGGAGGATACGAGAGCTTTGCCATGGCGTATTTGGACGATATCTTGATATTTTCGGAGACAGTGGAACAACACTTTTTCATTTAGGACAGGTGTTGGGAAGGTTGAGGAAACACGGATTAAAATTGAAATTGTCAAAGTGTCAGTTTCTGAGGGAAGAAACTAGGTATTTAGGCTTCGTCATAAACGGAGACGGTATTAAACCCGACATGGATAAGGTAAAAGGTCATAAGGGAAATGCCAGAGCCTAAGACAGTGAGGCAGGTAAGAGGTTTTATAGGAGCTATAGGCTACTACCGGCGCTTCGTCCCGGCATTTTCAAGAATTGCCATACCGCTAGTGGCCCTGACGAAGAAATACGCTAGGTTCAAGTGGACAGAGGACTGTCAACGAGCATTTGATTCGCTAAAGGAACAGTTGACAACCGTTCCACTGCTGACGTATCCAGACCTCAACAAGCCCATGATATTATACACGGATGCCAGTGAGCAGTGTGTAGGAGCAGTACTTACCCAGCCGTGTCCTGATAAGGAAGGACCAGTGCCAGGCATACCAGAGGAAGTACCGATATACTTCCTCTCCCATAAGCTCTCAGAGACACAACAGAGGTGGCCAGTAATAGAGAGGGAAGCATATGCTATCATGTATGCTCTCCAAAAACTGGACTACTATTTAAATGGTGCGGTCTTCACTATAAAACAGACCACAAGCCTCTACAGTACCTATTGCAGGCAGAGTGGACAAATAATAAGAAAATTCAACAGTGGGCACTTAAGTTAAGTGGCTACCACTGTAAGATAGAGTATTTGGCAGGAAAGGAAAACACGTGCGCAGATTTACTCTCAAGAATACCGAAACAACTGGAAGAAAGATCTGTAAAGGGTAGAACAGGGAGTAGATGATAAAGCCTATAGAATACGAGTAATTAACTCTAATAAGCTAAAAGATCGCCCTATATTAGAATCGGACGAAGAAGGGGACGCCCAGATAATAACCGATCCCTACTGGACAGAAGGAATTGAAAAGGAGCAAGCAGACAGTGAAATAGCTGCTCTGAGAGAGAAGGTAAAGGCAGGAGAGACCACCAAGTATGCCATAATAGAGGAAAGGCTGTATTATCTCTCAGGAAGGGATGAAGAAGTCAAACCCAAGTTGTATGTGCCCAAAAGTTTAAGACCAGAGATATTGGAACAGTGCCACGAAAGGTTGGGTCACATGGGAATTGATAGGACATGTGATCTCATAGGAAGAAAGTACTATTGGCCCAAACTGTACGGGAGAAGTCACTAACTATGTTCGGAGTTGTGTAGTGTGCCAGTCGCAGAGCAGAAGGCAAGAAATGGCACCCTTGGAGGAGACAGACGTACCAAACTTCCCTTCGAGAAAGTGAGTATGGATGTATCAGGACCATATGGGGAAACTGCACAAGGAAACAACTATATAGTGAGTTTTGTCGATTGGCTAACAAATTGGCCTGAAGCATTTGCAGTACCAGACAAGAAGGCCAGAACTGTGGCCGGGTTGATAATAAGCGAAATCTTCCCTAGGTATGGTGCCCCTGTGCAATTGGTAACAGATAATGGCACGGAGAATGTGAACAGCATCATGAGAGAGGTTTTGACAGGTTTGAATGTAGAGCACATAAAAACATCCCCATATCACCCCAGGGAAATGCTAAAGTGGAAAGGTTTCATAGAACCTTGGGAGATGTATTGGCCAAGTTGGTCAGAGAAAACATTGGAAATTGGGACTTGTATTTGACGCAGGCTCTGGCGGCCGTGAGGTTTACGATAAACGAAACCTCCAGATTTTCTCCTTATTTTTTTTGTTGTTTGGCAGAGACGTGGTCCTGCCTGTAGATAACCTACTGAAGCCCCCGAAGAAGGTATATGGGAGAAGATCATCATCAACTATTGCTGGAACAGCAACATAAGATATTCGTACAGGTCAGAAGAAGAATAAAGAGGGCCCAGAAGAAAAAAAAATGAGAGGGTGAATGCTGAAAAGAAAGGTGGTAGAATTGAAGGTTGGAGACCCTGTCTACTATAAAATCCACCAGAGAGAAGGAAAACTGGACCAGAGATGGGAACCGTACTACCGGATAGTAGAGCAGACGGGCCCAGTATCATATGTAATATGGGATCAAGTGGCAGGACAAGCGAGGAGGGTTCATGCCAATGATCTGAAGAAGGCTGAAATAGCTAACCTGGAAATGAGCGAGCCGAGGCCTCAGAAGACAAGGAAAAGGAAGGTAACTCTGGTTGAACCGGAAGGAATGGCGACGGAGGAAGACTCCGAAGAAGATGAGGAGGTAGGTCGATTTGACCAGATGAACGAAGCGGTCCGAGGAGCAGAGTTGGAACCCTCAGCGGGAATTAGCGATGTTCAGTCGTCGACTGAATCAGTACAGAGAAGACCCCGTGAAATCGCCATCACACCCCCATGTCCGAAGAAAAGGAAGAAAAAGACGAAGAGGTCCAAACAAGCAGTCGAAGGCTTTAAAAAGAGGCACCCTGAACAGGACGAAGGGTCCAGCGAGTGGGAGGAGGAGGATCAAATACCCCTTTCCCAGCTTAAGGAAAGGATAAAGAACAAGAAAAGTTTAGACATAGAGTCGAGAGGTATCGAAGACATTCAAAGCGAAGACTCTAAACAGGAAGAAGAATCAGGGGATGAAGAAGAGGACAAAGAACCTCCTGGACGAGAATTAACCGCAGCAAGAAGGTTAGAGGTTGAACAGGAATCACCTCAGAAGATGAGATCAGGGAGGGAGAAGAACCCCAAATCTCAGTAGAACAAAAGGACTGTGCGGAATAGGAGCATTTAGTGTCGACAGATAGCGACACTGGCTCATCCAAAATCCTATTGGCTGACTATGGTAGATGTGAGTGGAGGGATGGAGTTGCGGGCTGCACCTCACAGGGGACGGAAAGAATTATTGGCATTATTGATTGGCCACCAATGGTGTCTTAAAGTACGACCTTTAGAGTGGGCGCCACGCACATCTGACCGGACCATTCTGTCTGCTGGAGGTTAGTTAGGGGAGGGAAGAGCCGAGCTTAGAAAAAAGTTATGAAATAATTGAGTGATGAATCGAGCGGGACTAAGTGATTGTGAAAAATAACAACAAGAGAATTTGTTACCTTTCAGGAATGATCAAGATGAAAGGGTTGGTGATGACGATGATGGTGATAGCCACGCTGGTGGTGACGATGGCGGGAAGCCGGAAACGCAGCCGAAACACCATTTTTAAAAAACGAGCCAAGTAATAATAACCAGATCTAAGTGGTTGGTCACATTCGTGATAGATTTGAACCCGTATGAGTCGCTATTAGATAAGTTGGGAAACGAGCTGACGCAGCTGGATGCAGCCCGATTGAAAGTAGGACAAGATTATCCCAAGCACAAAGGGTATCTTAGTTTATTGCACTCCCTAGAATCAGAAGCCACTATGATAGAAGCTCAATGGAAAGACATGCAAAGCTACCTGCAGGGAATAGAGTTACTGCAGACGCGGGAACGAAGATCCGTACTCCCGATCGTGGGAAAGGCGTTGAGTGTCTTGTTTGGAACAGTAACTGAAGATGACGTTAAATTCATAAGAAGGAAACTGGGACAAGTAGAAGTAAACCAGAGGACGCTTGCCCAGGTGGCAAGAGAGAGTGTGACGATATTAAATGTGACAAGGTTAGAAGTATCCAAAAAAATAGAGCCAGAATCAATTGGTTAATAGACAACCTGGCGAAATTGAGACAAGAGGTAATTAATAATACAGAAACTGTAATGGTTGAATTACAGGAAATAAGCGGATTCATGCAAAAATATTTCCAGCTAATGACGATTACGAATAAAGTACGACAAACTAGTCAGTCGTTGACGACCTTGCTAGAACACGTGAGAGCACAATTAGACATGCTGTCATTAGGACACCTCTCCCCAAGTATGTATAGTAAACCCGGGTCACCTAAAGGAAGCATTACTGGGCATACAGGCCGAATTACCCCTGCCATTTAAGGCTACCAGTGGACCCCACTAGGGAATTGTGGAAGTACTATAATGCCCTTGGATGTGTGACCTTGTTAGAAAAATAGACGATTATTGGTAGTGATATCTGTCCCGTTACTAGATATGAGAGTATATTCGAGATATACCAGGTTATAAACTTACCCATCCCCTACCCCAGAAGAGATCAAGGTTTGGGAATGATAGCAAGGTACAAGGTGGAAGCAGACTACATAGCATTAAATTCGGGGAGAACGAAATTCATGTTGCTATCAGCTGAAGAAGCTAGAAGGTGTAGAGATGATACCCTGGGGACTTGTACCTCGTTGAGCCCCTATCTATAAAACTGGTAACCGCAGACTGTGCATACTAGAATTGTTTGAAGGAGGGGGGAAGGAATCAAAAGAATCTGCCAAGTAGAGGTATTAACAAACTCGGCATTACCACAAGCTATCAGTGTTTCAGACGGGGTGTGGGCAGTAGCCACCCAGAAACATATCAGCCTGTCTAGGGTATGTGGGGAGAGTCTACAAGGACATTAAGAATAAGGCCACCGTTATCCCTGGTGACGCTACCCATGGGATGTTCGGCGGTTGGGGTGTCCATCTCCTTGCCCCCTATTACCAGATGGAAGAAAGGTATGAAGAAAAGATTCACTCATAGAGATGATTGGTAGAGGCTTAGTCAATTGTACAGAATTATGGGAGCCGATAGTGAAGAGATTCTCTAATGTTACCTTAAATAAGATGCCGGTATTAATGAAGCCAATAGAAAAGATCGATATGGATCACTTAAGAGATAAGTTAAGTGCGTTGGGAGACGAAGGTGTAGCTTGGGAAGACGATGAGCAGATCGCGATAAGTTGGTCAATAGTAATGGGTACATTCCTAGTTATAGCCATCGGGGGTGTAATAATGTGGAAGATTAAGATTAGCGAACGACAGTCTAGTGAGCATGCAACAACTCGAGAGGGAGATGCCGAGCAGTGTTCCTTGCTCAGACAGGACTGGCGAAGAAATTGCTGAAAGACCAATGGAGGAGGCTGGCGTGAGACCACCACGTGCGGCGGGAAAACCTCCCACGGCAGAGAGGAAAACATTGACCAAGAAGAACAAACCCTAGTGAACACATCTGCACCTACAGACACACGCACACATTACCTTGCATGTAAAACAAAAGGAAATGAAAAGAACATTTCATTGCATGTAGAACAGAAGAAAATGAAAAGAACATTTCATTGCATGTAGAACAGAAGAAAATGAAAAGAACATTTCATTGCATGTAGAACAGAAGAAAATGAAAAGAACATTACATTGCATGTAGAACAAAAGAAAATGAAAAGAACATTTCATTGCATGTAGAACAGAAGAAAATGAAAAGAACATTTCATTGCATGTAGAACAAAAGAAAATGAAAAGAACATTTCATTGCATGTAGAACAAAAGAAAATGAAAAGAACATTACATTGCATGTAGAACAAAAGAAAATGAAAAGAACATTTCATTGCATGTAGAACAGAAGAAAATGAAAAGAACATTTCATTGCATGTAGACCAAAAGAAAATGAAAAGAATATTTCATTGCATGTAGAACAAAAGAAAATGGAAAGAACATTACCCTTGCATGTTAGAAAGTAGAATAGAATTGCATGAGACAAATGCATGGTGCATGTTAAATGATGTAATTGGGTTTAGGTGTCATTTACGGGTAAATGACAAATCGGTTAGGGGAGGATTGTGGCACCTTGCATTATTAGAAATATTCCTAGAAATATGGTTTAATTTTTCTTACTCAGTTTATTAAACAGGTTGTTAATTTTTTTTAAAACGGAAAATAACTGAGTTGAAAATAATTCACTAAGATTGTACTAGACGATCCTAAAGAAAAAAGAGGAAGAAAAAGAAAGAAAGAGAAAGAAAGGGAGTTGTATGATGCATGACCCAGTTGATGATGGAGATAGGTCTGCGTGTGGCCGACTTTTTTTTTTTTTTAAAGACAATGGGAAGAATAGAATTAGAAATAATAAAAAGAAAGAAAGGAAAAAAAACATTATATCGAAACGAGCCGCTGATGTAGACCAGATATCGTCAAAGCATCTGACCGACTTTTGCGTGGAGAGACTCCTTATCAATTTGGTTTAGAACAATAGAAATGAAATTTTTAATCAGAGAAAAGTGTTTTTGGGTTGAGGGGAGTTACCGGTGGAACTATATATACAGATCCTGACCTGTTAAGAATTGGACACCCACGTTAATAAAGTAGAGACATTTCAATGTAGATAATTAAGATTTTGACTATCAGGAAAAACAAAGAGGTAAACAGAGGGACAATTGCTTTTGGCTCACAGAGGGCGCCAAGAAGGCGGAAAAGATCCTTTCTAAAGTCAAGACTAATTAGCGGCGGGCTGTTTGACAAAGTCCAGGTGAGAGAAGGCCAAGATGGTCATTTTTCGTACGTGCGAAAACGAAAAAAAAGGAAAAATTAGATTTTGTTTTTTTTAAACAAGAACGATGTAACCACGCCCGCAAACAGAGGAGAAAGGATGTTCGATCAATAACAATTGGTCGGAGGCGGTCACGTGATCTGCGGAAGAGAAGGGAAAGAAATGCTCAATCAGGAACGATTGGTCGAAGACGGTCACGTGATCTGCGGAAAAGAGAAGGAAAGAAATGCTCGATCAGGAACGATTGGTCGAAGACGGTCACCTGACATACGAGAGACCGAGAGAGATGGATATGCGCCTCCCCACCAAAGGCACTATGAGGAAGTAGGGGTGAAAACAATAGCGATAATGAGGAATCAAAAATAATGCAGCTTTTGGAATTATCGAGAAAACCCTGACGCCGACAGACCCACCCCAGTTTGTTGCGGCGTCAATATAAGCAGGACCCCAGTCGACAGAAATCAGTTGAAGTTGGAGTTGCAGATGGAGTGGAGTTGCAGCTGAACCGCGGGAAGGGAAAGAGCCTGAACGCGGGCATCAGGCCCGATTCACTCGCCCCTTTGCGGGCAGAAGAATCCTCAGACAAGAAATCCTTCCAGCCCAAGTCGAAGACAGGAGAACTTCCAGCCCAAGTAGACGAAGAAGAAGATTGCCTGAAAGCCTGAGAAGAATTGGAGCTGCAGACAAGCCGAAAGTCGATGAGAAGTTAAAGTTCAGCCCCGGACGGCAGCGAGAAGAGACCACCTCTGACGACAGAGAGTTGCGGCTAAGTTGAAACAAGAAATCTTCCACCAAGTTGAAACAGGAAAACTACCAGCCTAAGTCGACGAAGAAGAAGAAATACAACTCGAGTCGGAGAGAAGAATCAACTGCCGAATGATCGATAGAAATTAGCCTGAGTGTCGAACCAAACCACACTCCGACATACACAATTCTATAGGGTAGGCAATTCGACATCTTTATATTGTGTGATAGAAGCTTGGTGCCATAGTCCACAGAGCGGGTCGGGAATTGAGAACAATTTTTGTTTTTATGTAGCGGACATTAAGATATAAAAAGGTTGTTACCCTTTTATCAGCAATTTTGTTTAGTGTCGTGAGTTTTGTTTTATTTGTGTTTTTGCCACCCCCGTCGGACTCGACTTGTATCGGCCCAAATCCCTGCTGGTCCCGTCTGTCTAAGATCTAAACACAGCGTGGGTAGACAGACCGGAGATCGGTATAGTTGCTTTAGTGACCAGGTATTGGAAGCGAGTCGGGAAAGGCGAGGCTGGTGATCATCTGACCAAAGGGTTGGAGCGGCACGCTTGGACCCAGGAGGAGCGACCAGGAGGAGCGACGTCACCGTTGGCGCCGTAACCAAAGGATCCGACCCTGGGCCAGGTGTGTAACCGTCACACTTACATCTCAGTATTTTCATATCTATCTATCTATCTATCTATCTATCTATCTATCTAATCTTTGTCACTTCCTTATATATATATATATATATATATATATATATATATATATATATATATATATATTAGGAAGTGACAATTACTGTTGTGGCCTGTTTAGGGGCCAGAAAGAAAGACACGGAAGACGAAGGTCGATTGAAAAAAGTATATTGAAGATCTATACAAAACAATTGTATTAGTAATAAGTAGATTAGCACTGCATCTACTACTGCACTCCACACTCTGCGCCTTATCCAACTCTCGCAGTTTGTATTTATGAGAGAAAGAAGAATTCATTACACTGTAGAGGGTTTACCACAACACCCCTCCTCCTAACATCTTAACTCATCAGGAGTCTGAAGAACTTTTTTTTGCACATGTACCTGTAAATAAGAAAGTTTAACAACTTTTTAATGGTTTTCCTCCGCCTGACTTGTTTTACATTATCGAGAAAAATAAAATAAGTGTTTTCTTTTTTACATCTGGCTTGGAATTTAAAACTTGGCGGATTTGTTTTGCTAAGTTCAACGGAGAAAAACTTGCGCACTTTTGTTTGTGGTCTCTTTTTTTCGGTACGGTTTTTTGCTGCCTTTGCTGAAACTAAAACCTTTTGCACAAAACGTTTACTCCCTTTCACTGGTCCAGGTTTTTTATAAGTCTAACACAATGTTTTTTCTGATCAGAGTTTACTGAAACTGATGCAACTTTCTTGCTCTGTTTAGGGATAGATGCTTGTGTTCCTTGAGCCAGTTTCTTTACTTTGGCTACTTTGACTCTAACAAAAACTTCCCTCTTTTTCATCTTGTCAACATGAAGCACTTCCGTCTTTACCTTTGCTACTTTCTTCAGTTTCACTTTCTTAGCAGCTAATTTTTTTTATCCTTTTTAGATGAACTGTTCTTTGTTTCTACCTCCGATAAGTCGGTTGAAAAAAGTATATTGAATATATATACAAAACAAGTGTTAGTAATAAGTAGATTCGCACTGTGTCTACTACTACTACTACTACTACTACTACTACTTCTTCACTTCACTTCACCCTCTTCTCATTCGACTCAGTTTGTACTTATGAGAGGAGGAAGAGTTCATTATACTGTAAGAGGGTTTACCACAACACACACACACACACACACATATATATATATAGAGATAGATAGATAGATATAAATATAAACATAGATATATAATCTTTGTCTCTTCCTATCTATCTATCTATCTATCTATCTATCTATCTAATGTTTGTCTCTATCTATCTATCTATCTATCTATCTATCTATATATATATATATATATATATATATATATATATGTGTGTGTGTGTGTGTGTGTGTGAGTGTGTGTGTGTGTGTAGAAAGAGAGAGAGAGAGATAATCTTTCTCTGTTCCTATCTATCTAATGTTTGTCTCCATCTATCTATCTATCTATCTATCTATCTATATATATATATATATATATATATATATATATATATATAGAGAGAGAGAGAGATAATCTTTCTCTGTTCCTATCTATCTATCTAATGTTTGTCTCTTCCTATCTTTCTATCTAGCTAGCTATATATATATATATATATATATATATGAGTGTGTGTGTGTGTGTGCGCGCGTGTGTGTGCGCGTGTGTGTGCGCGTGTGTGTGCGCGCGTGTGTGTGTGTGTGTGTGTGTTAAATAAATCCTAAAGTGTCAGGAACAACCTATCTTTCTGTTTCCTGGCTCTTTAGGATTTATTTTATTTATCCCAGCTCTGCTTCGCGTATTGAACACTCTACACTTTAGCTTTATTACTCGCTTCTTTTTACTTTGGACGAAAAACTAAAGGCACTGGACGATTTATTACGCACTGTTCGGATGTTTCTAGTTCTTTTTTTTCTATTTTTTTTTCCTCGGGTAACATTTTGATTTGATATACTTAATGGTTGTGTTATCCGAGGTTTTTTACAAACGAGTATTATATATATATATATATATATATATATATATATATATATATATATATATATATATATATATATATATATATATATATATATATATATATATATATATATATAGGAAAATAGAAAATAGCGCCATGATCACATACATCATGAATATATAAAGGTATAAGTAGCAGCATATAAATGAAAGAGATATGTAAAGGGTCAATGGTTACAGTTAGAAAGTTGTGGAGAGCCGTAATCATATATGTCTTGAATGGATATGGAACATAAAAGTAAAAGAAATAGATGAAGAGCATAAAAGTGAAGAGAGATTGTAAATGGTCAATGTCAACATAAAGTAACACAAGAATGGCAGCTGTGGAGAACCATTATCACATAAATTTTGAAGAGAAATGGAACAGACAAATAGAAGTAGCAGCATATAGATGAAGAGAATATGGATGCAGGGAGTTTGTAAATGACCAGTAGTTGGATGGAGCAACAAAAGCCCAGAAGATGGGGAGAGCCGTGCTCATCTACGTCTTGAAATTATATGGCACATAAAGAAAGAGAAGCATATGATGATAGAATAAGGACAGACAGAGATGGCAAAGGGTCAAGTGTTACTTAGAGTGGAAAAAGATCTGAGGTTTTGGACAGCCTGGAGCGAACCCATTCTGAAGGGAGACGAATATGAAAGAAAAAAGTGAACATCTTTCAAATAATGCAAATGGGAAAAGGTCTTACCTTATCCCAATCGTCAATGTTTGAATAAAGATAGTTATCGGATGTTCTTAATATAACGTATGGAGGATCGACTCTGGCGTTATTAAATTCACACAATGTCATATTTTGATTGTAGTTAAAAGACAGGCATCTTCGTCGAAAGAAACACATCCTTGCACACTGGA